TAATACTTTCAATGACAAATACATAAAATTCTCAAAATATCTTTTTTTTTGGCTACTCTCTTCTTCTTTTATCTTTTCTCTTCTCCATCTTCAACAACAATTGAGGTACAAGGGGAAGGTTTGGGTAGGAAACCATGGTCAGTTGAGGCAACAACTATTTGCATAATTCACAACTCTGGGCTTGGAGGTCATTCTGGAGTGTGAGCTACATATCAGAGGATGAAAGTTGTGTTTTATTGGCCTGCCGTGATTAATCAAGTAAAAGTTTTCGTCCAAGAATGTGACATCTGCCAAAGATATAAGAATGAACAAGTAGCCTATCCTAGTTTAATTCAACCACTACATGTGCCTAATATAGTATGGGAACACATCTCCATGGATTTCATAGAAGTTCCGCCAAAAATTAGAGGGAAAGGACTCTATTTTAGTGTTAGTAGATAGGTTTAGCAAATAAGTACACTTCATTGCAATGTCTCATCCTTTTTCTGCTTTCGAAGTAGCTAGAATATTCATGCATGGGTTACCTAAAAGTATAGTCACTGACGGAGATAAATTGTTCTTAAGTTATTTTTGGAAGGAATTGTTCAAAGTCCTGCAGGTGCAATTACTTTACAGTTCTGTCTATCATTCACAAACTGATGGACAAACTGAATGGTTGAATAGATGTTTGGAGAATTATCTCAGATGTATGACGGGACATAAGCTAAATGATTGGAACAAATGGATATCTAGAATTTGGGTACAACAGCAACTATCACAGGTCCCTCAAAATAGATCATTTTACAGTGGAATATGGTTATGAACCTCTATAGTTGTCTTTTGAGTTAATTTCACTTAAGTGTTGATGTTGTTGACCAGTACTTTAGATAACAGGGATCATGGCTAATACATTGAAGTAAAATCTCACAAAGGCTCAAAATAGAATGAAGACGTGTGCTGATAAAAAGAGGAGTGAAAGAGAGTTTGAAGTAGGTGGCTAGGTATTCCTAAACTGACAACCATATGGATAGACATCTATAGCTCTGAGGAGGAATTTGAAATTATCACCTAAATTTTATGGTCCTTATCAAGTGATTTAGAAGATTGGACCAGTAACCTATAAGCTAGGTTTACCTTCCACAGCTAAAATACATCCATTCTTGCATATTTCCAAACTACAAAGCAAAGTGGGAAAACATGTCGTTCCGGCTATAGACTCTCCCATTTGCTCTTAAGGAGGCCAACCTTTAGTTGAGCCAGTTCTGATTCTAGATAGAGGAATTGTCAAGAAGGAAAATATAGCTTCTATGCAAGTTTTAGTTCAAGGCCAACGAAGAAGCCACTTGGGAAGATTATCACTTTTTCATATCACGATTCCTGAGTTTGAAGATTCTTTAAGGATAGACTAATTTCTAGGAGGAAGGAGTGTCACAATTGTCTTTTTGTGCCTTAGTTTATTATGTTTTCAATAAATTATTTTAGTCCCTTAATAGTTTTAATAGTCACACTTAGTAATTTCTTTTCGGTCCTAAATTTTGTTATGAAAAGCAGACAGGTGTCATCGTATGATAGTATCTTTCATTTACTTATATCCGTTAGTACTATCAACAAGAAATACAAAAAATTATCGAAATATATCATCTCTCTCTACTCTCTACTTCTTTTGTCTATTCTTTTCTTTTGTCTTCAATAATCTAGGTGATAATGGTCTTACTCTTGTTACAAAGGGCTCGTTCCCAACATGTTGTATGATTCGTACGAAGATCAAATTAAGAAACGGGTTCGTTTGGTTAGAGCTTTAGGGTACTCGACTTGAATATTTTGGAGAAGAAGGAAAGTGAAAAGAGGGACGTGTAAGAGTGTATTGTACGGTCTTTTTGAGAAATTAGAGAGACTGGGTAGTGTGTAGGATTATTGAGAGTGAGGAAGAGAGAATAGTATGGGTTTAAAGGGGAATTAGGTCGGGTATGAGGTGGTTGGTCCGGGTTAAATCTACAAATGGGCTCCAATTGAAGATCCAAAGGATCAGGTCCTTTGATTTAGATTCCATCAAATTTAAATTGATTTCAATTAATTCAAATTTGATAGAACGGGAATGAGAAGAATTATAAACTCAACTAACAAAAAAATCATTTCGATAAGAATGATTTAATTAAATCGGATCAATCATTTTTTGGTTAACTTGGATTTTCATTTATAACCAAAAAAAGGAACATTACAAATCAACACAATTATGGGACTAGTTGCGTCTCTATCTAACCTTCTTTCATCCTACTCATACAGAAATCAATTTACAAGACTAATCTAATATATTGGGAAAAAAAACTATTTAGAGGTTGTAGTATAGGTTCCCATTTTGTCTAGTGTTGTCCTATTAAATGAATATGCATTACAATCTTTCTGAGGATCTTTTCCACAAATAATCTCCCTCGCTGTAATCTGATCTTGTTCCTTTCTCTCCAAATGATGTAGACAATCATCACAAAAACACTAGTCTTGTTCTTAGAAGCTGCTGCATTCTTTTTAGCAACGTTATTGATACAAGCTATCTCTGTTTTCCAGTCTTGAATACTTCTTTGAATCCCTAAACAATTACACAGTTAACTTTGTCCCCATAATATCCTTGTCATCTGACATTCATAGTAAACATGTTCAGAAGTTTTCTTTGTGTTACCACATAACACACAATCTGGTGGCATATGGATTCCAAACTTTTCAAGTCTTTCAACTGTTTCTGATCTTTTCTGCACAGCCTCAACAAAATAAATTTGAATCTAGGATGTAATCCATGCTGCAAAGTAATACTCTTTCATTCTACTCTTGGGAAAGTAGGCATGATGTAAGCATACATCTTCTTAGTAGAAAACTTCCCTTCGTTCTGTGCCTTTGCAAACTCCATCACCAAATCACCCTGCCCAGCTTGTGTTTTGATTAACATATCTCTTGTACCCGAATTTTTCCTCACAACTCATGAAGCAACAGTAGGTATGGTAACAGTTTGGATCTCCTTTTTTTATATATAAAATAAATATAAACACATTGAATCCATATGCATTCTTTTCTCCTAGCTATATTCCACAATTGTTTGAGTATTACAGCCTTATTCCACAACTTCAGATCAATTATATTCAGTCCATCTGCAGCTTGTGGTTTGCACATTGTTTCCCATGATACTAAGGCTTTCTTGGAGATAGTTACTACCCTTGTCCATGTGAAGGTCCTACAAATTTGTTCTATAGTCTTTATTACCTTCTTAGGAAGTACAAAAACTTGTGCCCAATAGGCTTGGACTCCAATATGACTGACTCTATCAATTGGACTCTTCCGTCATAGGATAATAATTTTGTTGACAAGCAAGTCACTTTGGCAGTGATTTTCTCAATTAATAGCATAAACTGGTTGATACTAAGATTCTTTGATGCTAAGGGAACCCCTAAGGGGACAGTTGCCCTCAATGTAGTCGAGTTCATCCAGAAATTCCTGCTTGATATGATCAGCAACTTCAGCCATATACAAGGAACTCTTGTTTGTATTTGCCTGTAATCCTGAAGCTCTAGATAATTTCATGAAAGCTTCATTCAAAAGCCTAACAGAAATAAGATCAACTCTATAATACATTAGTAGGTCATCAGTAAAGCAAACATGTACACCCTCCAGTCTTCTGCATCATCGATGGTAATTGAAGTCTCCATTCTTTGTGAGTGGTTGTAATTCTCTTCCGAGATACTCCAAGGATAATACAAAGAGATAGGGTGATATAGGGTACCCTTGTCTTAATCCCCTCTTAGCTTGAAAAGGGTTAGTCAATCCTCCATTCACACAAGTCATAGTTCATGAAATGAATTTAGCAAGGAACCAATCTCAATCAACAATTGCTTCAATAAGCTTCATTAAAGTGAGTCATAAGTTTTCCTTATATCTATTTTAAGAACACATCTCGGGGAAATCATAACTTCTGAATATTTCTTGGCTAAATAACACATAATCCAAAATAATTCTACCTTCATTAAATGCAAATTGAGATCTCCCAACCAGCCCTGCTATCACATTCTTTAATATTCCTGTAAGGACCGTTGAGATGATTTTATACAACGAAGTGCAGCATGCAATGGGTATGTAGTCTTTAACCTTTGTAGAGGAAGGAACTTTAGGAAATAATTTTATGGTTGTTGTATTTATAACAGGTAGGAGAGTACCAGTAATGAGAATTGTTGAACAGCTTTCAATACTTCTCCTTTAATTTGACTATATCCCAATTGCCTGTGAAGAACTCAATAGAAAACCATCCACTCCAGGAGCTTTTTCTTTTGGCAATGTCTTGATAGCTTCAATAATTTCTTCATGTGTTACCTCTTTGATCAGATACTGTTGTTGTAGAGTCAAACACACTCCTGTCTTTACCACCTCAACATTTAAACAACGGAAAAAAGCCTAAAATGCTCTTAAAGTATTAGAAATGATATAAAATTACCCTCCATCCATTTATTGGCTTCAAAATACGCTTCTCAACCATCTATTGGGTTCAAAATACCCTTGTCATTCATCTTTGAGTTTAAAATTTACCACTTATTCAACGGTTTTAAATTTAAATTGTTTAAATATTTTTTAAAGTACGTAGCGCTCAACTATTTATTATAGTTTAACTTATTAATATTATTTATAAACACATTCACTACCCACCCATTATTAATTAAACCCCGCCAATTAAGAAACGCACCACATTACTAATGCAACAACAAGAAAGGTAGTGTCAATGAGTGTTTCTAAAAATTTGAGGCGAAAATGTCTATAGAAGTACATTATCATATGTGTATCCGAGTCCTCATTCAAAATATATTATAATTGATGTGTCTACATAAAACTTACCGATAAACTTAAAAGTCTGATTATGTTATCTTAATTATACATCTATGTCAATTATATGATGTTACTTAATAGATAAATTTTTAAAAAAATTAATATATTAAAGTGTTGATATTTAAATAAATCATAAATATTTATAAAATTATATCTTAAAAAAGTGCATGAGTTATTTGGGATGTACTACTTCTTTACATTTAATCATAAATTCGAATTCAAGCTTGAAAGAGATTCATATTAAAAGTGACCTCATAAACAAGCGGTTCAACCTAAATTTAATTGGGGCTTGAATTTGGACTGAACAATTTTGGATGTCAGTTTTAGGAAACTATGATTTCTTCGTGTTTTAATAGTGTTTGGAGTGATTTTTATATTAGAATTGGTTTATTAATTGCATTTTGGACTCAATACGTAGATGAAAGATATTTTTATATCGTTTCAAATACTTTAACAGTATTTTAGGCCCTTCAGGCAAATTACTATTGCTAGCATCCGTAGTCCAGTGAATACCCCAATAAATTCATCTTCAATTGCTCTAGGATCTGTAAGGTTGGTATTATTATCAGTGTAAATAGAAAATGATAATACGACTACATCTTATCTTCGATCAAGCATGGAAATACTTAGAATTAGCTTTCCCACATTTTATCCAAGTAGCTCTAGACTTTTGCCTTAACACCTGCTCCTCCACCCTGCTCCACTCCTCAACTTCCAATAATAACATTTTTTCTTGATCAAACACCATTTGATTCTTCATATATATATATATATATATATGAAAACCCTCAACCCGGTGAAGTGGCACAACCACATAAAATAATTCCCTTTTATTTTAACTTGTTCCCAAAAATACCTTTCCCCTCCTCCCATAATGCCACCTTCATATGCAACGTAACTCTTCCTAACATAAGCAATGAAAGCCTCTTGGTTCTTCACAGAATCTTCCTCCATTTTCCAAAACAACTTTCGTACAACAACTTCTTCGACAGGATTTTTTAGTTTGCACACGTTGCCGTTAAATTTGTGTAAATCGTCGATGTTCTTCATGCTCCTTCCAAACAATATTTCCTTCAGTACCTTCCTCGACTGAATTTGAAAGTTCTCCTATCATGTCGTTATCGTTGCGCAGAAAACCGCCCGACATCTCTACCAAACATTCAGGTATGATGCCTTATGAATCTCCTCTATGTATCTTCCCAATAACATCTCCTTAACACCTTCTTTCATAACAACATAGATTTGAATGCTTTTGAATGCTCTCCTCTGTTGTGATTGTAGTGTCAGCAGAATGTCGACCCAAGTCTCCAAGAACCATCTAGGATGAGGTTTTATCAATCTCCTCCCTATGTTCTGTTTCTTTCTACTTCGACTCAGCAACTTCCTCAAAACCTTCTTCTCTAAAAAAAACTCAAAATTTTCTATGCAGTCTTTGACGTTGCGCCCACAGCGCCGGCCTCACTGCATCCAGGTACATGGTTGACAGCTTGCACTCACATTGTTGTAATCCTGTTCCATCTTGTCATTCTATTTTAACCCAATTGATTCAATGGTATAAGGATACATTTGTTTTTATATATGCGCAAATGTCATGAATGAACCTGTACGCTAGCATTAATAATAAAAAGGAAATTCCATATAATATGAGTTCAATGTTATTTTTTCTTGGATGTCTTATTTTCTATTGTCCAATTGCCTTGCCACCAATTAATTAAGAAATAGGATTGAAAAAGAATAGCTTAGCAAAACTATATAGTTAATTTTTACATTCAAGTGAACTAAATGTGTTTTAGTTGTCTGTACTGTAGAATGATGGTATTAGAATTGTTGTTCATCTTGTATTCCAAACAAATTTAGAACAAAACTTTGAACATCTTTGTAAGAAAATAAAGTTTAATAACATTTTCACAACTAGAAAATTAAAACTAGTAGCAAAACTAGAATCAGAAACAGATTTTAAAAAAAAATATACGAAATATTTTTCTTAAAGAAGAATTGTTGTTAATATGTGTCTAAAGAATCTTACCGATTCCAACAAACTTTGCAGAAACACGAAGTTACCAAGTTTAAAGAACCAGTGAAGAACAAAAGAAGAGAAGAACTGAAATTAATTCACAAATCTAAAGTTTGTAAAACACGTACCAGAATCTGAAAATTTTTAATAGGAAAAAGATCAACTCCACTGAATTCACAATTTTCGCTTAAGGAAATTATTCCCCTCTAGTATCCGAGGTTTGATTTGGAATATGACCTCCCAGGGTAAAATGATCTCAATCACTAGAGTATAGATACCAAAAACTCTGGTGTCAGCGAACCACTCAACGGCAGCAAAGTACACTTAGAATACTAGATTTAGTAGTTGAAGAAGAAGTCCATGAATTCTATATTAAAATGAGAGGAAATCCCTCAATTTATAGAAAACAAAGGGTGGTGCGAAAAAGTTCTTATTGTGCCTTACTGGAAAGGTCACAAACCTTTGGAAAAGTCACAATCTTTCAGAATGGTCGTCATCTTTCATAAAAGTCACAACTTTCCATAAAAGTCACAACTTTTCATAAAAATTGTAACTTTTCATCAAAGTCGCAACATTTCATAAAAGTCACAACTCTTCATAAAAGTCGCAACTCTTCTTTTTCCATTCACACCTTTTTTAAAATCCAACAATCCCGCGCATGAATGGGGAATGACTCGAAGACAAAGAAACGAACAAGTATGTGTACTTTACAAGCAAGAATTAATTGCATCTGGATAAGTAGGTTTCCCCTTGGACTTTCCGTAGTGAACATACGTCGGATATACTCGGTCAATCGGTAGATGCGATATCTTTGAACCGTCGAACTTTGATGTATACCTAGACAATCATATGTCACACAATTAACCCTTTACCATCTATGGTTCTTACGGTTGTGTTCGTTTTATCCATGAACACCTCCTGGTTTCATGAGAGTATAGAGAGATAGGCTTTTGACAATCATCTTCTTTGAAGTGGCTTACACTTCACACTCACATAGGTGATTTCTAACCGTATTATCGCGTAGATACACTATTTGGTCAACTCTGTAAAACTTAGCAAATCATTAAAACTATTAAACTTTATTAACTTATTAACAAGCCTTAATGTTGTATCCTTGTCCCTAAGCATTGTCTTCATCTTGAGAATGGATTGAGTTTATTGATAATGCCGAACCGTCATTCACAACTTTATTTTTCTCCTTGAATCTAGCTCTTGGGATCTCCAGTCTGCTAGATAGAGTTACCGCCATGATGACTTGTCCTAAGCCGTAAATTCATTCCCTTAGATGATCTTTTAACTTTCTCTCTAGTTAGGATTTTTTGTAAGTGGATCTGACACATTATCCTTTAACTTTACATAGTCAATTCTGATAATTCCACTAGAGTAGTTTTCTAACAGTATCATGTCTATGTCGTATATGACGAGACTTTCCGTTATACGTCATGCTCCATGCCCTACCTATTGCATATTGACTGTGAAAGTGTATGCATACTAATGCCAATGGTTTGGGCCAAAATTGAATATCTATCAAGAAATTTCGGAGTCTTTTAACTTATTCACCGACCTTATCTAGAGAACCTAGCTCAAAGATCATTGTAGATCTAGCGATACTTGTCTCTTTTGAAATATTTCTAAGAGACTGCTCCTCTACCAATAGTAAATACATCTCCACTCGTGAATTTTACTTCATTCTTCCGATGATTCAATTTGCATCACCATATCTTTCAATATTGTAGAATATTGTTATAATGCAAGACATAGTTTTAAGTATTATTTTAAATACTTCAAAACTCTATTTATTGTCATCTAATGAATTTATTTGGGATCACTTGTGAATCGACTCAGTTTAAAATAACAAATGCTATATCTGATCGCACACATTATATGATATACATCGTGCTTCCCAAAACTATAGAACAATCCAATTGTGAGTCACTTTTGTTTTCACTCTTTTGAAATGCAAAGCTCACATTTATTGGACACTTGACAATATTGACATTCAAATATTTGAACTAGTTAAGTACCTTTTCAATAAAATGAGACCATGAAAATGCTAAACATTATGGAGTTCTACGAATTCTTATATCTAAGATCGCATTAGCAACTCTAATAATTTTTTATTCCACTTGCTTTATAGCATACATTTAGTAGCATTTATGTCATTAGTGTCTCTATTGATGATCAACATATAACAAATATACAAACAAACAATGACCTTATGATTTTGATGTGAACACATTTATGACTTCCATCATTCTTCAATCCATTTGCCGACATGGTTTGATTGAATTATGTCATTGTTTTTATGCTTCCATAATGTGACTTAACAAGTTCACATACTTTCTTTTATTACCAGGTACCACAAAACCCTCGGGTTGTTCCATGTAAATTTCTTCCTCCAATTCTACATTTAAGAAAGTTCTTTTCACATCATTTGATGAATTTGGAGGTCATATACCACATTAATAATTTTTGCATCCGAATGGATGTAATTCTAATTACTAACGAGCATATATATATCGACAAGATCAAAATCTTAATTTTTTTTCTAAATCCTTTGACACAAAGTCTTGCTTTATATTTTTCAACAGTTCCATCAACTGGTATTTTTCCTTCTAAAGATTCATTTTCAACCAAAAGGTTTATTTCTTGAAGAAGATCAATTAACTTTCAATATTGTTTATTGATATGACAGTAGTTTGATATTTAACTTTCCAAAAATATTTCTGCACAATGAGATTTATACTATCCATTCTTATCACTTATTATATATTTTTCTACACTGATTTTCAATTTCGGTATTACATTGCCTAGACATTTCTATTGCTTCATCCTTACCATTTAGCAAATAGACATAGTCATTTCTGATGCAATTCTCAATAAAAGTAACAAATACTTTTTCCCACCATGAGATGATGTTAACTTCATATCATCAATGTCAGTGTAAATCAATTGTAAGGGATTAGAATTCCTTTCAACAGATTTATAAGAATGCTCAACATACTTAGATTCCACAAAAACTTGATATTTTTATTTATTGTACTCAAAATTAGGACAAACTTCTAAGTTTATCAGTTTTTCTTACAAGGTTTTGTAATTGACATGCCCCAAGTGTTCATGTCACAAACATTGACTCAAGCAAGTAAGAACAAAAAAAACATTGAGTTTGAAAAACTCTTCGCGAGATAGCTCTTTTCTCACTAATATTTTGTTCTTATTTCCTACAATTTTATGTGATACAAATGATGAGAATATAATATCAATACCATTAACTTTCCTTTAGTAACAAATCAGTAGTTTTAGTTAATAGTTAGTTACAAAGTTACAAGTTCTTAGTTACAAGTTGTTAGTTTCCAATAGTTAGTTAGAAGTTAATTGTGCTATTCATCAAGGTTATATATAGGCTCATATTGTATTCATTTTAATCAATTCACAATCAATGCAATATACACTTCTTCTTCTCACAATCTGCTCTCAAGTTAAAGCTTTCAAGTTAAAGCTTTCAAGCTCAAGTAGAAGATCATCAATGGAGTTAAATCGATGGTGTTAATCTCTTCATGGTATCAAAGCATTGGTGTCTAATTGGTCCTGTTTCGAAGTTGAATTGTGAGCCATTTTGTTGTTGTTATCAACTGATTCGATTGATTGATTGAGAGGTTGTATTGTGAATTCTTTTTGGTTTCTTCTTCTTTCTTTCTGATCGAGGAAACACATTCATATCTTAGCAAGTTCTAGATTTTTTTTTGTGTTAGATCTCTCACAGAAACACAATGACTGGCACTCAAGTTGGAGATGTTGCTTCTAGTTCAACTACATCTCGTTTGGATTTTTCCAGTCCCTTTTACCCTTATCCTTTAGAGAATGCAGGATCATCATTGTTACCTGGAGTCTTCGATGGTACTGGTTGCAGATCTTGGAGGAGAGCAGTCCTCAGAGCATTATCAGTTAAAAGTAAAATAGGTTTTATTAATGGAGCAATCGTGAAGCCTATATCTACTGATCCTAGCTTCATGCAGTGGGAAAGATGTGATGATATGGTCACATCTTGGATCTTGAATTCTTTGTCTCGAGAGTTGCATGATAGCCTGCAATATGTGAATAATACCAAGGAGTTATGGGCAATATTAGAGGAAAGATATGATCAAACAAATGGATGTAAATTGTATCAGTTACAGAAGGAGATAAATGAGATTGTTCAAGGTACTTTAGACATCACTAAGTACTACACAACAATGAAAAAGCTGTGGGAGGAGATGAGCACAGATGACATTAATTCTCAATGCACATGTGTGTGTTCTTGTGGAGGTAAAACAAAACTACAAAAGGCTGAGCAAGACAGAAGATTGATACATTTTTTGATGGGGTTAAATGAAATGTATACTAGTGTTAGAGGTAGTATTCTCATGATGAACACTCTTCCTAGCATGGCTCAAGCTTTTGCTATTCTATGCCAAGAAGAAAAGCAAAGAGAAGTAAAGCCTCATAATCATACAGCGTTGGATTCTACTTCTCTCAATGCTTATGGACAATACCATAATAATGCAGGTTACAAAGGATTTAGAATAGATTATAGTTCATCTAAAGGGGCTGGATCCAGTTCTGGTAACAATATG